AAAAAGAAAAAGAAAAAAAGAAAAAGAAAAAAAGAAAAAGAAAAAAAGAAAAAAAGAAAAAGAAAAAAAGAAAAAGAAGAAAAAAAGAAAAAGAAAAAAGAAAAAGAAAAAAGAAAAAAAGAAAAAGAAAAAAGAAAAAGAAAAAAAGAAAAAAAGAAAAAGAAAAAAAGAAAAAGAAAAAAAGAAAAAGAAAAAAAGAAAAAGAAAAAACAGGCTGTAGAACACTAAGGTACATCAACTCAGGATTTATTTTGCCCCCACTCTGTCCATGTCTGTCTGAACTACATGTGGAAGATTCCACTGACGTTCCAATAGCTCTATTTTTTCCCTCCTACCAAAAGCTCACCCTTCAGGAGGGATGACTGAAGCTAGCTAGCATCTGAAATCCAAGGAGCTCTCAATGGCCAGTCCAGATGCAAAACTTACACATGCAGCATGCACTACCTCTCAATTTCTTCTTTTAAAGTTATTTCTGTCTGTGTAGAAACAAAAGTTCACATTCCTCAGATTTGTAGTTACATGCAACTAGTCACATCCCTGCCATGGCCCTCAAAAAAATAGATTGTTTCCACAATATTTATTCACTACAACACACAGTCACTGGACAGAACAGAAATTCAGAATGGGATTCACCTCACCTATCTTCGCTACCTAGAAATTAGTGCAACACAAGATTTTATCATCATCTATACTTGGGCTGCCACTGGCCCACTCTTGGCCTCAAGGTCCAGCCCTTTGTCCCAGCTGCCCCTTGTGCTCACACTACATGGTACCACAGACTCTTCAGGCTTAGAAGTACCATTACATGCTTAGCACATACCAATAACATCTCTTACATGGAATACTTAACATACACAAGTACAAGACTCTTTGTCTTTTAGGCAAATACATATGTTACTTTCAAATACTGCAATGAGGTGACATGACAGAATCCTGCATTGTTATCAGTTTCTGCCCATGTGCAATTCAAGTGATAACCAAGATGTTTGGGATCACAAATTTAGTTACATCTTACAGGTAGTTCTGACAATAAGACATTCTTCTCCCATTCTGAAAACTGATCAACTTCTTACAGACTGTGACAGAAAAAGATCAAAAGTCATTTAAACTGATATACATACTGGCTTGATTTCTTGTCTGTCCAGTTTTTTCCGATAGCGCAGGATGGCATGGATAACATTACCAGCTCTAGCTGCCTGCAGGGTTGTGGGAGATAAATAAAGGAAGTCCTGTAAAGCACATAAGAATCATAAGTTAATGATTACCAGACTACATTTAAAAAAACCAAAAAACAGAACACAAAACTGCTAATACTTCTCATCCATGTTCTTAGAGTTTATTTTGGTCTATATAGAAAAGGCTTTAAATCATATGAAGCACACTAGGTGCAGTAAGCTGATGACTTGAAACTTAAAATTTTTTCAACAGTCAGAACCTCAAACAGCATCAGGCCTAAAACATACATGATAGCTGTTAAACACCCCAGTAGAAATGACAATGCTACTTAAAACTTAAAATCCAGGACTACCATACTTCCTCTTTTTGCTTCTGATTTTAGGGTCTTTTACAATTTTATATCCCATCTGCAAATATGAGCACACACCTTGCTGATTATGGGTGCGTTACCCATGTGTTTTACATGGAGCTTTTGAAATTGAAAACACCAATTGTGTTACCCGTGAAGTTTTACATGGAGCTTTTGAAAGACTGCTTGTTGCAGTAAGCACAAAACTGTTTACTACATGAATTTGCCCAAGTGGCAGATGTGGTAAGTTTATTACTAAGATATCACTGCACTTGAAGACATTGGCTGTAGGTTATACTAGAAGAAAGAAAAACAAAGGTCATGTACTCAGTGGATATGGATTTCTAAACAGAAATATAACACAAAATAAGATACCTGGCAGAAATTTTACAGCACTGCTTTCATACCTAAGGTGTTTATAGTATTTACCTACCATTGCAAAATAGTTACTATTAACCATAATTGGCCCACGTCCTCTAAGGTAGATATATTCTTCCCACCAATCACTAACCTGTAGCAGGAAGGAAAACAAAAGCAGTAAAATCTCAATTTCCACAGTTTATATCTTCTATATTAATGGCTCCACAACATTCCATAAAGAAGCAGGAAGGAAACTGCTAGCTTGCCCCCCCTCCCTCCTTACATAAGATAAACAAGAAAACCCTAGTTTGTGTTAAACTTTGGACAAAAGAGCAAGAGAGGGTCAAGACAATTAAATTCAACTGTAGCTCTCTGATAAGCTTCTGAAGAGGCCATCATCTCCAAATAATATTTAAAATGTATCAGATCTCCTGAATGTTTTGCAGCCTTTGCCAGGACAGCCTAGGCTACTGGGCACAGCTGATAATCTATCAGGAAGGAATTTTATTACAGTTCTCACTATGATGTTGGGGTTTGGGTTATCTTTTTGGTAAAAAAACAACCACCAAAACAATAACTTATTGTTACAATTCTTTATTTCTCTTTCATATGCTCTATATAAAAAAGTTGTCTTAAGTCACCCTTCTAAACTACCTGGGTAGCCAGGCCCATTGTTATTAAGCTTAATAAGGAGATAAACAGACCTCAAAAGCAAATGTAACAGCAAAAGCTAAATAACCTGCTCCAGAACAACAAAACACAAAATGAGGATTCACTCTTTCAAATTCCATTCACTACACTGTTTACCAAATCACACAAATTACTTCTGTGCAAATCAGGCATCTCCAAAGTACTTTGCCTTTTTTGGCTTAACTTTCATTCTTTCTTAAACATAAACGAAAGCAATTGAAACTGTTTAATATTTTTGCAATGGGGAACAAATTAAGTTATGTCATTTGAATGACTAAGCCTCCTATTTATCTACTCACATAGTTTGTGGCCCACCAGGATTTTAGCTTCAAATACCACTGAAGCCTTGGTCCCAAATTAAATGCAAAATCTTTGGCAAGACCCTCCATTCTTCTGAACTCGTCATCATCCATAAGTGGCCGAACTGATTCCAGATACTAGAATAGAGGAAAAGAATCAGCATAGTAACTAATACATAGCTTCTCACCATTCCTACACAAAGCATTTGAACAGTAGACAAAGTTTATCCAGACTCAATTCATGATATTGCAGATAATATGTTGTTAAAATAAGAGTATACACTCTAAGTACCTGCCTACAAACTAGAAAAATGGGATTTTTTCCAGACATGTCAGCAGATCACAAGTGGAAGAGATTACTTTTCTAAAGATATATTTTCCACTCAAAGGGGGAAGACATACTACTACTTCAGTATCAGGCAGAGATTTTTTTTTTTCATCTCTAAAAAATAATCTAACCTTCAAGTTTCTGTGATATACTGTCCTACTTACACAGTTTGCTATAAGGTTTTGTGTCATAAACCACATGTTTATATATTCAAGCTGTGGAAGATAACAAAACCACTATGTTTCAAAAACCCTGGAAATCACCCTTTGTTGCACAGTCTTACATCAACAGACATCACATCATCCAGCATGAATTACGCCAGCTTCAAACTGTCACCAGATTCAGTGGTTTGTCACAGACTTTATTTTCATTTCTGTGCAGAAGTTTTAAACCATTACACCGTATTAATACCACCATGCAATACTTTTATAATAGATGGCAAAAAAACCCCACAAGGGAATCTAAATATGAATTCAATTGTTACTGAAGAAATTAATTCATATACACACCCTATTGACTGTGTCTTTAACAGCCGGAACTGGCAATCGTGGTAAAGATGTCTGGAAACTGTATAACATGGGTTTGCGTCCTGAGAAGAGTTTTACAAGTGCCTGAACAAAAACAAAATACACACCTCAAATTATTAGGTTCAACAAAAGAAAAGTTACAGAGTAATAAAGTCTAATGTAACTCACAGTTCTTCTCACTGGTAAATCATACTGTACTAAATTTATCATTTTTATCACTGTTTCACAAATAATAAAAGGCACTGACAAACTAACTTCCTAAAGGTTAAACAACATGTCCGTGGAAGAGAAAAACGGTCATAGTCCTTCCTGACTTCCCAGACAATCTTCTGGTCATTAGGCAATATTGTTTATGAATGGCACACCTTGATCTCAACAGAAAATAGTTACTTAGCACTTCTTTTTTTCATACATTTCCCTCTGTAAAGATTTAAAAAAGCAAGTCTACCAGTTGATCTTCTATTATATAGTAGATGCTACAAAAATATCTGTATTGCGCTTCAAAACAGGAATCATTATTAAGCCCATCGCTCAGCTAAGGACCCTAGTTAACTATTGCCAACTTTTAAAATAATTATGCTTTGGAATCATGGTTTAATGTTTTCTGAATGTATAGCTCAATATCAGTAGTAGTATTGATATTACAGGGAGTTCCTTCAAGCATGAGTCTATCTCAGGCAGTCTACTGCATGATTTGCAAATTGTGCAAGCGTGCCAGTGTTATGCTTGGTGCTTGTGTTACAAAAAACCCTACTACAATACAAAAAAGCCAGAGATGTCAGCTCCCATATTAGCTTCAGATATTACAGCATCCCAGTTTTCCATGGGAGACTGAAGACAGAAGCAGCACTTTTGCCTAAGACTACTTCTCAGCTGTGACATGCACTAGGCTTAAGTCTAGACCATGCAACTTCTACACTACACATGAAAGGATTTTGACACTATCATCCTATTTCAGCATGAAAGTAAGGTCAAATATTACACCCACAGTCCAGTGGAGCCTTTATTGTTGAAGTCCAATATACTATACAGACCAATAGACTAAAGATAAAAGAAAACAGGATGCAATTTCACTACTAGATTCCTAGAACTTCTCCCTTTTATCTCCCCATGACAAACTGAAAAAACGACTTTTTAAAATGTAGAGTTCCACCCCACCCACCCCCCTCAATTTCCTTGATTAGCACAGCTAAAGGAGGTTATTTTAGGTAGCACAGAACTATTAATAATTGCAGAGTATTACCAGCAGAGACCTCCCTGCAAATGAATCTCTTTCAGAGTTGTCAGATACACATGGATGCAACCACAGTAATCAGCCCGGTGAAGTCTAATTGTGCTTCATGACAAGATAACTTGGAAGCCAGGTGAGAAAAAAAGCTCAGCTTTTCATAAGAAAATGTAATTCCATAATCAAGAGACAATTTTATTCCAGAACTCTTAAACCAGGAAAGGCTGATATTATCTTCAGAGAGAGTACCTGCTCAACTGACAAAGCCAGCAAGCATATTTCACAGTATTTATCTCTCAAGTAAATTTGTAGTAGAGAATTTGTAATAGTTTGAGACTATTAGTGATCTGACAGACACACATCCTTAATTACATCTGATTTCATATGCAGGCACAGCAAATAATCTCATTCTAGCATACATTCCATCTGTTCACAGATTATTATTTTTTACCTGCTTTTTTAAAAACTGCAACTGATAGGTGGATTTTTTTCCTAAACCTGGTACAGAAAATTTGACTTCGGAAGATGAAATATGTTCATTAAAAGTGCCATCAGACTTCCAACTAGCCTGCAAATCAGTTTGTACTGTGACTGAAATCAGAGCCCAGTTTTTTGATCTACATGACTATTTGAACAGAAGACAGTATATTCATTATAGCATTTTTCATGCATGAAAATCAGCCAAGAAAAAAAAGCATAACCCAACACGAACCCCCCCCAAGAATTACACAATATTAAAATATAATAAAAATCTAGAAAGCTAATGTAGTTGGTATTGTTCTACTAGGGAAACCAGCGTTTTGTTGGGACTAGCTATAGAAAGAATAAGGCATTAAATTAGAGCTTCATGTTAAGTATAGGTGAGACACTGTTGGGCATACAACTTTAGAGTGTTCTGCATTTCAAAACATACATACCACACACCAAAATACATATGCAACATATGTAATAGACAAAAATGTATAAATACAATATGCAACAAAGCATGGTAAGTAGCACTGCAGTTCATACTGTTTAAGGTTGATATGGCGGTATTAACAGCTTTAAAATATCTATCTGGTAGGGCATGCTGAAAACCCAGACAGCTACTGCTTCAAGCAACTAACAGAAAGCCTTACCATTCAGAGCCTGTACTGTACAAATTCGAGTCATGAGGCTCCTGATACTGCTTCCAGGAAAAACTATCAATTAGAAATTTCATTTGTAACAGAGGAACATTATATTCTATTTTAGTATACTATTCTGGATACCTATTCTTAAAGATAGTTCATAGTAAAATCATGACGTTGTTAGTCCAACACACATCAGTTAACTTTTGAGGCTGCTTAGACTGATTTTATTGTAGTAGGGCACTTAAGTTACTTTTGCCAGTATTGTTCTGGAAATGAGTTGAAAGAACCGAGTCTAAGTAACTAAAAACTACTTCATCTCTTGGAGCACCTGTATGTACATTTCCTCACTTTACAGCTACCACATCCTTTAAGGATCCTCTTCCAAAGTACCCAATAATCAAGAGGAACCAGATCACTCTCATCTTATCCTTATGTGAAAATTGCGTAACAAGCTACCTACATCATGCTTTTTCTCCAACTCATTCTGGAGGCATACCACTAAATCCATTAAAAGGACATTCAATATTCTTTTCTTCAAGTATAAGGTTAATTTTAGAATGGATGACTGCAAATGCTAGCATTTCAACAAAGAATTAGGGTAGCACTTTCTGGGGAGGACAAGATTCTTTGGTGCTACAGCCTAAGTTCTTTAACCTGTACTTGCATAGAGGAAAAAGTAGGTAGTTGAGTCACACAGTTCTAAGGCGTTGGCAAATTTAAAAGTTGTTCTTGAAGTGTTTATTCTTCCTTCTACAAGGCCATCCTGAATAGTTTAATTATAGCATCAGAAGAATGACATTAATTAGTAGAACCGTCTGCCTGACAGCCTCCTGTCCCATGACGCAGAAAACAGAAGCAAGGAAAATCCTACAAAATTTTCTTTTAGGACTCTGAATACAAATCAGATAGAATTTCAGATGAAACAGAAAGACAATATATCCTTACCATCCAGAACTTGGTGCCTGCAGAAACTTTGCCATGTTCAGTGAACATCCAACCATGATAGGAAAGCAGCATTTTTAGAGAGTAGCGCATTGTGATAATAAGGGCAACCCAAAGCCCTGTGCCAAAAAGTATTCCACTCACGATGTTCTGTGTTTGGTTTGACATATAGCCGCTATTTAAAACAGAAGCCAGCACGTGTCAGTTAATGTCAGTTTAACTTCTAAAGAGAACCTAACATTGCAAACCTAAGTCTAATGGCACCACAGGCAGGCATTGCACAAGCTTCATGCCTGTTTAGCCCTTTTTCATAAACTCATTTCCAAACACCCTCTCATGAAGCAAGATCAAAGGGCACAGAAGTTGCCAAATGTGCTTCCCAAATACTCAGAAAACAATGTAGCAGTACTGGTATAACAACCTACCTATTTCATACCCTCATACATCTGTTTATTTGACTTACTCTACCACAAACATACTGTCAAAAAACTTTAACAGGATTAGCTTTAAGGGTAGTTACATATAAAACTGATTTCCTTGAGATGAACAGTAACTTTTAAGTCTACTTACGTTGTATCAAGTGTTCGGTTGATTTTAGCTATTATTCCTAAAGAAGGATCAATTTTGGCATACATTGTTGACATCACACCCACAACTACAATAAGCCAGCTAGATGGGCTAGCAGGATAAACGCCAGTGATAATGCCATTCTGGAAAGAAAAGCCTTCACATAATTTTTTCATACCAAAGTGGTTGACTTCATATTATCATGAAAAGAAACAAAAATCAACACGTTTAGTTTTAAACAAGAAGTTAAAGATTATCCAACATTTTCTTACGTATGCTTAACCCAGGAGTAAGGAACAGATTTAGTTAAGTTTGACTGCTACAGTTTTGTAGATAACACTGGTCCTGCTGCAAGTCTCACTAAAAATACTGAAATTAGCAAACAACTTTCAAACAAATGACACTGCAATAATCCCCATTTACACTGAGTTAGGCCTCTCTAAATGAAAACATCGCAAAAATATTCTGCCAAACAAGCCACTGAAAACGGCAATCAAGGGGTTTTTATATCCTTTAAACAGTCCTCATAGCTAAGATTTTATTAAGACTAGACTACTGTTAAAAATATGTTTTTGAAAGAGATATAGAAGATAGCATGTAGCTTGTTGTCTAGTTTGCTACTAATAAAATAGATACTTACCATTTATGATCCCTTGAACAAACCAACGAATTCACAACAATCTGTATCAAGTACCTCATCAGAAATGTTACCATTTAGCATAACTTGTACAAGATAGATGTTCAGGCAATTTCTTGAAAACAGCAAGCATTCTCCTTAACTTTGATTTTGGCAAAGAATACATAAAATCAAGAGTGTAGTCTTGTACCTCTAAGTGATACGACACTAAAAAGCAAAACTAATTCTATTTCTGACTTATGCTAGAAGATTACACAATTAAATGATGTATTATGAAGAGAATGAAGTAAATTAAAGCTATTCATTTCTGCATCTTTTTCATCTTTCTTCTACAGAATAAATCAAAAATATGTATTTTACTGCATCATCCAGTGCTACCTTCCTTGTCTTAACCAAAACCAACACAAGACTTTCACAGTAACAAACTTTATTTGCCATAAAGGAAAAAAAAATAAATTACCTAAATAGAACTTCAATAAATCTATAAAACATTAAAGCCCCTCAAGTTTGGTGGACTTGACTAATTTAAAATACCTTGAATCTGATGAACTTTTTCTTCCATGAATAGACACCAGATAGGTAAATTTGTTTGAGCGCTTCATGGCTCATTCGCAGGTCAATCCCATCTGGAGTTACTGTAAATTGAAAAGCTACTGCTTGATGAGCTTCTGCCATTTTCAGAGCGAGTTCTGTCAAAAAAGCAAAGTTTTAAAATTATTTCCTTTTTGTTCAAAGGAACTAGGAGCTAGTTCATTTCTAGCAAGGTATCTTCTACATAGTAATTTGAGGAAATACTTCAAAGTATGCCAAATTTACATACAGTACTTGCCTCTTCCTTACAGGCTATGCTTGCACTTCTGTCTCAGCGTCCAGTATGCTAATTAAGGTACCTCTTCTAACCACAAGAGCTGAAAATGGAAACAAAACACTCCCATATAACTTAGGCCTTCTGGCAGAACTGCAGCAAGCTTAATATTGTATATACATGCAATATATAAAAATTCAGAGCAGAAAATTAAAGTCATACTATTTAGGGGGAAAAAAACCCCAAACTATCGCAGGTACATAGCATCCTACTCTGTAATGATGAAGGAGATTCAGAATTTCTTTTTTTTTTCCTCATCATTTTGAAACAAAAGTTCTTCACCTCAGCTAGCAAAACAAAGCTGCTTCTGGCCACATCCTCCTCTGGAATTTTTTCAGATCTTAATTTCCAGCTAATTAGTCACAGCAATAAGACACTATAGCTCTGGTGGCTCTGAGTTCTGACTGGCAAATGACTGCAAAATCAAAACTGTGCAGAGTTGAAGAAACCAAATCACAATTGTCAGAAAAATGACCTTTGGAATTAAGAGGAAATTTAACTGAACTGCAGCTCAGTTTAACTACCCAAACAAGTATGAACAACAGTACAAACACAGACAAAAGACCATCATAACAGGCAGGCGTAACAGGTTCAAATAAAAACCACTGGAATTTAAAACAAATATAATTGTGATTCTGTTTACATGTTTATGGCTTATCTTTGAGGATATAGCCAATTCAAACTGACTGTATACTCTTATTATCAGCTCATCTTCATAGCTTCTTTCTTTCCATCATGAGCATTTCCACGTAAATATCCTGGAAGTTACTCCTACTCATCATTAATTCAGACTGTTTGAACACTTACAATCAGAACATAGATTTTTTTCAGACAGGCTCTATGTATAACACTGAAATGGTCCAGAGACCATCGGGATTCCAAAGTCTTCTGCCCACATTCATTTATCAGCTTACCAAAACTTCTGTGCATAATCGTAAAACAACACTGTCTTAGAAGTATGACAGAAAGGGAGAGGAATCCATAATCTCATCTGCAGGTCAGGATTCAGGGGTAAGTTTTAATTTCATATTTTTACTGGCATAAAACACAACATTATAAATACCAAGTGTTTTAAGGTGGCACTTGCATTTCTATTTAAGCAAAATCAGAAGGAAGAACTACTTCATGCTTTTTCAGTGCTAAAGGCTGAAATGCACATTTCTTCAGCAAACCTGAAGCTTAGACTTAAATTCTGGTAGATGTTCATCCCCTGCAGCATGGAGGGCTAACCAGCGCAGTTCAGCTGGGCACTTCAAAAACAGTTTATTGTGACTGTAGTGCCGCTCTTCTAGTCTGTAAATATTCTACTACATCAATGTCATCTGGAGTACAAAGAAGGGGTGCAACGGTGTACAAGTAGACAGCTAGGGAATGCTGCAGTAACAGCAGGCTTAGGAAATACACAGTCTAGGAAGAGAATGAGCATCAGGCAGAAGAGAATGAGATAAGTGCTGCTGTGCAGCATCTTGTAAGGTTGTGACCAATACATAGTGACTGTTTGCAATATTTATAGTGTTTACCCCTAGACCAGCTTGCAGTGACCAACCTCCGCAATAGAACTGCTACAGTGGCTGATGGTAATTCACAGAACTCCCAAATCCATCAGCCACTGCTCAAGTTTTAGAGGTTGAGCCCTGGGTGAACCAGGCTTCTGGGTTTCCAGAAGGGTAGCTAAAGCTCATAGAGAGCATGCAATTCGATCCATCCATGTACAGCGTCCAATTATGCCAAAGAAACCAAATCAGCTTTGAACATCAGTTTCAAAACCTTAAGACAAGTCCTGTGTGCCCTAGTAACAGCTGCAATTTGTAGTACTTAATCACTCAGTCACTAACAACTGCTTATTCATGGGGGCCTTGCTGTCGACAAGTATCAGGAAGTCAGTCAGTTGTGCATTCATTCATTTATATTGTGCATCACCAGGTCAACCCTGAGACCTGGTGATGCACAACTGACATGACAGCAATAAAACAAGAGACAGGCAGTAGTAACATGTGATATGCCCTGGACTCAACAAGGTCTGCAAAAGGGGAAAACACTCGAAGTTAAGAATGAATCATACATTTAGCAGTGCTTTTAAGACTAGAATTACAAAAACATTTTTTAAAAAATTTTAAAAAATAATCACACAATAAAAACAACTATATCCCCATATGGAGAATCAGGCACCTGGATTTGTCTCAAGAGGGTCCATCAGGTCCTCCAGTTCACTCATGGAATTTTGTATTCTGGAATGTCAGTGTCTTAAGATCAGCTAGTTTCTATTTCACTTCAACTCCCCTGTGAATTCTCAGTCTGGGAATTTGTAACTATCCTCCTCTCTGTTTCTTAGGAGAAAAAATTTCAGGAACCTTTCCCTTTTTAGGCACAGGCATTTCTACTGTCCAAGGCAGAAAAAGATTATAAATAGCATTAATCATAAACAGTCAAGCCAATATTTTAATGAACTGAAACTCAGCATGATCAGAAAATTAAACAGGTTTCAATAAAGAAAAATATTCCTTATTCCCAAATGAAGAACTATGAATCCAGCAAGAATTAATCCTGAATCAAGTAAACAAGCCCTGAAAACAAAGACAAATCTAGTTCTAGAACTGTATTACTTGACCCTAAAATGTGAAACAATCAAAAGGCTTGTTTCTTTTCATATCCTTTTCCTTTACTTCAGAAAACTGTAAGCCTTTAAGACTGTTCTGAATTATGATGGCTGGACACCAAAGACTTCCTGAAGTCCCTTTCTTTGCACACTTATTTTCCTCCTTAAAGGCCAGTTCAGTCATAAGCTGCCGTCCACTTCCCCTCCTCTGCATTCCTCTGCCGTCACGTGCTTGCGAGCAAAGTAGGTAAAAGGGCACAGGCCAGAGGAGCATGCGTTCGGCTTGGAAACTTGACTTGCCCATGTTAGTAAGGCAGCACCCACATCAATTAGCTAACTAACACTGAAACAATAACTTCTTCTAACTTCTGGCATTTTGGTCAGCAAAACATTTCTGTACAGCACATACTAATTAACCTCATTCCCAATAGAGCCATAAATGAGAGCTTTTGAATTTCTTAGTAGTTTGGCCAAGCATTAAAGGGGAGAATAAAAAAAAAGAACACAGTCATTTATAAAAGTAATCTAAAATAATTATTTTCATTCATTTCAGTGTTCTCTCATAATATTAACATATCTTAAAACACACATGTGCCCCTTAAAACTTGGTTTCTTTTTCTTTGCTTTTAATTAAATGAGAAAGCTGTATGTTCCTTGCTCTTTTCTGGTTTTACTTCAATTCAAACATGCTGTAACAGCTGCAGATGTTTCTCCTCTTCCCTTTTCATACCTCTGCTAGAGCCAATCAAAACTTACAATTTTTTTTCCATTGTTATAAACAAGTACTGCTAGGTTGGATGTCACTTTTAAGTCAAGAAAACACACTGCACAGTAGAAGGCTGAAGTGCTGATGGACCTGATGGCCTGAAAAACTTATGCTGCTATGCCTACTATGCACAAAATCTCCTCAGACTGCTATTTTTGCAGTTTAACTCACAGACTGCTCACAGACCTTATCATTTCAGATTGCAGACACTGAACAGTCAACTATGTATTAGGGTTTACATGCTCCTAGAGCCATGGAAGGAGACAAGGGCCTCAGCTCTGGAAAATCTGAAGCTAAGGGGATCCCATGTGCAGGATGCTTCCATTGAGTCAGGCATGCAAGAATTCACTTGTGGTTGGTAATGCTTCTCTGAATCACACAACACAGAACACAATGTCTAAAAGACAGTGAAAGGAATACCATGTGCATCTTCACAAGCACCAGGCCGTGATGCAGAGGTATTACAGTAGATTGCACAAAACAAGCTATTAATTCCTAAAGCAGTTACCTTTGGAACTGATACTGAGTATGAACCTTCCCACATTTCTGTAGATTTCACAAGCTTTATATGGATGAGTGCTAAAAAGGCAAAGTCACTAGCCCTATCTCAAAAAAGCACAACTCCTCTACTTTAAGTGGATATCCATCTCACATCTCAGAACTCAGCCACTTGCTTCCCATACACTGCTTGGCTCATGCACCCCCCCCCCCCCCAATTTCCTATTTCTCTCAGAATAGGGAAAACCCTGCCATTTTTCCTTAGTATGAGTCCAAACATCCACTGGAAAGAGATATATTATTTAAACATAGTTTTCACATCTATAGCTCCTTTTCCTGGAAAGGAAACAAGGTAACAAATGCAGAGGAAAACTGGAGAGAAATCTTATTCACATGATCCAGAATAGGTGTGAAACCTTGGTGAAAACACAGTTCTATGACTCTCATTTGCAAGCTACTTCAAGAATTTATTCTGAGGCTCTCCTCACAGATTTTTGGCATTTATACTTTAGCTTTTATATACAGGGCATACACCTCTCAGTAACCAAACTAAGCTCACAAAACATTTCTCTCCAAATATTCTACACTGACTAACAAAGGTTGACAGTTTTCTAGGAAAAGCAGTGACTGCTGCATATAGTTTCTCTGAGAACATTGTTATGTACACCCCACATAGGTTTCATACAGACACCCTTGGCATCCAAACCACAGGCTGCTCATAGATGGGGGCAGACTTGCAGCAATTACATGTCCCTGTGCTGAGGGCTAGTACATGCTGCATCTTGAAGTATGAAGGTAGTTCTGAATTCAGAAGCACCTGGAAGCCCTTATAACTTCATGCAGATGCAAGTGCCACCAATAAAGCAATGAGAAGCATCTTATCACTAGACAGTGTCCTTGACTCCTGCCAAGTTCCTACTAGTATATTAAACCCAATTTTAGTTCAGAAACACACTAAGAACTATATTAAGATTTCCATTTAAAGCTAGACACCTTGAACTCGGAAGGTCCTGGGAAACCAAGCAAGTACCCCAATGACTTTGTCTCCAAACCCGTTCACTTCAAAGAGAAAGGAAAGGAATTCCATTTCTATCAACATGGAAGGCAATGAGTTCCTGTCTGAAAGTTACAAGCAACCATACAGAACAGGAAAAAAAATAAAATTCTGGAGCTCTTGCAGGTTGTCTAAAAACACTTCAACTCTGAAACTTGTTTAAATATTGAAAACGCTGCACAAGTTTTATCCAGTATTTTATTACCTACACATCAAATCTCCCTTCAGGAGATGAGCTTGCTATAGCTTTTGGAAAAAAAATAGACAACCAAAAAGTTTCATTTATATGTTATTGATTTATATTTTCACACTGAATTCCAAGAGTCTGAGGACAGACAATGAAATCAGAGCCATATTAAAACACTAGCACACCCACACTGTGTTTGTGCCAAGACAGTGATCAAGTATTTTCTCTCACTGGCTTAAGCTATTACTATAGAAATTTGCATATTCTACTCTCCTAGAAAGCCAAAATTATAAATGCATTCTTTTATACAAATCAATAACTGTTTATGCTCAAATCTGTTGATTTCATGCCAGATAAAGGGAATTCTAAACATTGAGATGTCCATCCAAGTCTCTTCATACATTATTCCAATTTTCTCTTCAGATTTCTGCTATTGATGCTCCTGCCAGTCCAAGTCTTCAGTACCACCTACCCAAAGTAACTCAGACTACCTTATGGCAGCTGACTTTGCCTAGATAGTATATTTGCAATGAAGTGATATGAAGCGAGGCACAAAAAACCGCAGTGTCAACATCATAAAATAACTTACTAGCATGTGAGTTTACTTCCACACTGCCACCAACTACAGTTTAATGGCAACACTGATCTGCACAGCCATCCCAGAAGGGGATGCAATCTATGGATAATCAGGGTTGCTTGAATTTTTTGTTGAAGAAGACTCATGAAAACAATCTGTCAAATCTATCTAAAGGTTGAAGACAGCAAAAAATGAAGAAAAACTGCAAATGGATATACAAGTACAGGGACTGAAACTGGAAGTAGTGGCTGATAGACCAGAGGTTAACACTGCCATCCAGAGGGACCTTGACAGGCTGGAGAAATGGGCAGGCTGAAACCTTATTAAATTCAACAAAGAGACGTACGTGCAAAGTCCTGCACCTAGGGAGGAGTAACCCCATGCACTAGTACACGCTAGAGACTGACTGGCTGAAAAGCAACTTTGCAGCAGGGAGCACCCAAACCAGCAAGGCGACCTTGCAGCAGAGACAACTAACAGAAGCCTGGGGTGCATCAGGAGGAGCACTGCCACAAGTTGAGGGAGGTGACTCTTCTTTTTTACTCAGCGCTGGTGAGGCCCCATCTCGAATACTGTGTCCAGTTCTGTGCTCCCCAGTAAAAGAGAGAAATTAAACTACTGGAGTGTCCAGTGAAGAGCCAATAAGAGGATTAAGGGCTTGAAGAATCAATCCTATTTTTGTAAACACTTTTAATTGTATACCTGGCAGAGAAGCTTTATGAAATTTAATGTAGGAGTTTTCATAATGTCTGCTTCAAATGTCAAACTAACTTTAGAGCATTTAAGACCTGAACAAGAAATCCTGTGCTTCAATTGCTTTAAGTGAAGAGCACACCTTGAAAGTCAAACTGGCAGTAGCAGTCAAACATTCAAAAAGAGCAAGTTTTTTGCATCTGACAAAAGGTACTATTCGTTTGGAGAATAAAAGAAGCTGGATTTTGTAGTAGAATTTTTACAGATTTTGCATGAACTTTTCATACAATGATTCATCTGAATTTTTCAACATTATTCCAGTAGCTTTGCCTTCACTAAAAAGAACCAAGCATGCCATTACACAATGTTTTTTAAATGTATGTTGTTTTTTTAACAACCGCTGCATTGTCTAATGAGAGTCTGCTAGTCTTAAGGCAGATTAAGGTAAATTTCTGGAGCTGACCCTAAATGCCACATATACCGCAGTGATAAGGTGGGCAACATTAAAAACTCCTAGTAAGAAAAAAGCCCTTGGAATTTAATGTAGAGGAAACACTGACTGTTCCTATCAAATTAAGGAAGCCTGTATTATCAATAATAAAACTGATGTTATTTCAGTAAAGTGTTTTCATGGAGTTTGCTATAAATGAAATAGCTTTAGACACTTAAGTATATGTACAGCATCATCCAGCACTGACTCAGTAACTTAAGGTCCCATCCACTCTTATATGAGTGACTACCTCCCTACAACTATCTGAAATAAATACCAAAATTATGCCCTACTGCTAGAGGGTCGATTAAGAAAGGCAGCTAACCAGAGAATGCCAAAAAGATGCTAAAACCACTTTTACTCATGTGCATCTGGTGGTCCTTTGATGCACAGTTGAACAAAGTTAAACCTAAAGATGAAGAAATAGCATTCAGTTTAACATAAATCCAAAAAATCAAAGTTGTCTAGAATTTTATGCCTTTCAAAGAAAATTCAGGTTCTGATCTACAAAAATCTTCAGTAAACAGTATAAAATACACAGCTTAAACATTTAAATACATGACCAAAAAGACTGCCTGGTCTCTCCCGTATCTGTTTCTTGAATATTCTACTAGCTAATGCCACTTTCTTGCAGTGTATACTACACTTCTGCAAAAAGATAACAAGATATCAAAGCCTTAGAAAAAGCTTATTCATAGTTCACATGATATTCCACAAGGTGCTGACTTCTGAACTTGCTATAAAGATTAACCATACACTGTTATTTGAGAATTTCTAAATAGCTTCCTGGCATACTAACCTTCAATAATATCTAATCATGCTTCAGCATATAAAAAGACACTGATACTTGCCGTTCAGAAGTCTTACCAATAATCTTACAGTGATTAATCATTCTACAGATACAAAATCATTAAGAGCAATCTGAATGAAGCCAAATCATCCCAGTGAACTAAGAAGTCATGTGGATTAAATTCACTCAACAGGGCTTCTCAGGTGAACCTAATCACTATGGCACAGTAGTAAAACAGAAACCAAAGAATCCCTCTCTTTTAAAACTTGAATTAACATAGCATTCAATCAATTATCATTTGATGTGATGAAAACAAAGTCAAACTGACAGGTTCTCTCATGACACTTTAGTTGTGACTGACACATGCTAAAACCAGTTTAAGCCTCCTAAAAGCTGAATCTGTTGTTTATGCAGCACTTCTCTCTCATAGGGTACCCAAAGTAAAATTATTATGCCATGACTGAAGTGGCTTAAGACAGAAGCCTCTCCTCCAGTAGCCCTCATTTAATAGGGAAATTTCAACTTCTCTTCGTTATCACCAGTCATGGGCTCCAATCCTTCCCACCCTCACCTGCAGCTGACAGCTGGGGTCCCTCAGAACTGTAAATGTCTTCAAGGATTTCTCACATCTAAAAAATGAACAAACACTGTGGTTCAAGCCAAGGTGGAAAACTGAATACACGTATGAATACAAGCCCAGGTACAGCAGCGCTGGGACCTACTGCAAACCTCACCCACAGCAGACAGTTTGAAATCATCAGAACAGCAAAGGAGTTGGCAGTAACTTGCTCCCCCACTGACAAACCTATCACCTTGTGTCGTGTCCTCAGCAGTTTTCCAAGATCCCCTTCCCAAACTGTAAACTGGAACAACAGGCATATATGGAAGAGATAATAACAAACAGACCGATGAATGAAACACAAGCATACCTGAACAGCTGTCGTCTTTAAAAGCAGACTTGAGAACTATTTGTCACACAAGCCTTCTCTCCCACAAGCTCACTCTAGATGGGCTCTTGAGTGGGTTAGGACACAGTGAGAGGCAGATTCATTCCAATGCTGCTAACTCCTAACAGACATCACACCACAGCAATGGCAAACAGTCAGTTGTAGCTCTGAAACAGTCAAGAAAAACAGTTTGAGCTTTGATTCACACACTGCTTTTAACTGCTCAGAGGGACTGGATCAGACTGGAACCATTTGAGAAAAAACAATGGCAATGGAGCAAACAGTCACAAGCACAAACAGTTCTGAAACACTGTTTTCCATTATGCTGGATGAACGTATTATCTGGATTGATCTGTCTTCCTTGAACAGGTCTGAGATGGTGAGGAACTGTGGAGTGAAAGGAAGTTCATCTGCTTCTCAGTGATTTCTGAGGGCTCCAACTAGTGATCACTAGCTAGTGCGATAAGCAAGGTGATCTCAGGGGCTAGACCCCAACATTAACTTCAGCTTTCAATTTAAGACATCTGAGCATCTCCCATTACAGTCAATACAGACGACATCAAGATTTCTTGGAGAGATGTTTATAGAACAGACTGGTTTTAGTGGCATTTCCAGGAGAAAAGCCACAGATGAAAAGTTGTCTTCTCACCAGTTCAAACTGGAGACAGTCAGGCAAAGAAATAGAAGAGACTGACTATAGCAGGTGTGTTAATTACCAGGCTAACACTGAGCAGTATTTTCCCTACACATTCTGGATCATAAGGTTTCTCTCCTCTTCCCAAATAGCATGCTCCTGTAAAAGACTGTTCGAAAACTATACACTTCCAACAAAAAACCACCAAAACACTGACATGCTCCACAACTGGAATCAACATAGAAACTCTCATATTATTTACACTTTTTTTCCCCCTATAGAGAGCAGGACATACTATACTGTCCCTAGACCTTTTAGATTATTCTAGTCTCCACTGCAGTATGTTACACTGTACACATCCCAGCAAGCTACCTCCTCTGACCTCCTAGAAATTTATAATAATTACAGAGTAAGGGATAAGCATACAAAGCTAAAACACTGCACAGTTATACCATGCAGAAACCTCCCCCACCCCCAAAAGGCCCTAGATCTGGGTATTTCTTTTTAATGCTGCTATAAAAGACATACTTAGGCATTTAAATTATGTGAGTTTTATCCCTTCTCTCTTCCTTTGCACTAATGAGCTTCTGTGCTCATGCAGTAAAGAAGAATTATCATCTTCTCTGTAACAACAAATATTTCTGGAATTGCAAGGCTTTTATGATACATGCAAGATGTCACATTTTCAGACTTTGGAGATGCTGGAAGATGAACAACCACGTTTGGTGACCAAAGGCAAACTGAATGGAGTGCTCTCCCAGCAGTTCAATGATCATCTACTGCACAAGGGGGAAAGACCCGAGAAGAGTCCTTCAGCTGCTTAAGGCCGAAGCACCAGTTCCAAACAAAATTACAAATATTTAAACTGACCATTCAAATTAAAGTTATTGCAGACTTGGAAAAAGAGATCTTGTTTAGACCTCATTTTTCTGAACATGTGAGCTTCAAGACTATGATGCAGCATGCTGCAAGGCACAGAGACAATGGTTTTGGAATATTAAAAAAAAAAAACCCACACAACAAAACAGTTTTTGATTGTGGATTGTTTGGGGTGTTGGGTTTTTTTGTTTTGTTGTATATATACAAGCATTCGGTTAAGTCGCTTTTTTCCCAAGGTTCTCCAAAGCCAGTCCCGCAGCCACGCTGGGGATCCAACACTCCGGCCGCCGCTGCCCGCCGCGCACAGCACCCC